TTATTTATTTATTTATTATTTAAACTTATATGCCGCCACTCCCCTGGGGCTCGGAGCGGCTTACAAGAATAGCTAAAATCTAACAAAGTTTAAAAGCAATTTAAAACAATTTAAAAACAACAGTATCAAACATTAAAAGCCTGTCGGAACAGGTATGTCTTACATGCCCTGCGGAAAGCTGGTAAGTCCTGCAGGGCACGAACTTCAGGTGGCAGAGCATTCCAGACTGATGGTGCCACTGCTGTGAAGGCTCTGTGTCTGGTTGCTGTTAGACGCAAGGTCTTGACACTGGGGATAGATCTTGGTCCTCAGAACGGAGGGATCTCTGGGGTTGGTAGGGGGTGAGGCGGTCCCTCAGATACATTGGCCCCAGACCATGCAAGGCCTTAAAGGTGAGTACCATCACTTTGAAAGTGATCCGGTGCTCAATTGGTAACCAATGCAGCTGTAGTAAGATTGGTGTTATGTGGCATCTCATCGGAATTCCCACAAGAAGCCGAGCAGCTGCGTTTTGTACCAACTTGAGCTTCCGAATCACCGACAGAGGGAGGCCAATGTAGAGGGCGTTACAGTAGTCCAGTCTTGAGATGACCGTGGCCTGGATCACCGTAGCTAGGTCGTCCCTGGACAGGTAGGGGGCCAGCCGTCTAGCCTGCCGCAGGTGAAAGAAGGCGGTTCTGCTCACGGCGGAGACCTGGGCCTCCATCGTCAGCAGAGGGTCCAAAAGGACTCCCAGACTCTTTACCAATGATGACGGGCGTAGCGCCTCGCCATCCAGGGTAGGCAGCTGGATGTCCCCACTGCCCGGTCGACCCAGCCATAGGATCTCCGTCTTTGCTGGATTCACCCTCAACCTGCTGGCACGCAGCCATCCAGTAACGGCCTCGAGGCACTGATGGAAACAATCGGGTACAGAGTCCGGTTTCCCCTTGACATTAAGTCTAGTCGTGTCTGACTCTGGGAGGTGATATTAATCTCCATTTCTAAGCCAAAGAGCCGGCATTGTCCATACACATCTCCAAGGTCATATGGCCAGCATGACTTCATGGAGCGCTGTTACCTTCCTGTTTGAGTGGTACCTGGTGATACACTCACATTTGCATGTTTTCACACTGCTAGGTTGGCAGAAGCTGGGCCTAACAGCGGAGCTTGCCTCCTTCCTGGATTCGAACTGCCAACCTTTTGGTCAGCAAGTTCAGCAGTTCAGCAGTTTAACCCGCTGTGCCACCAGGGGGCGGATGTTGTTGTTATTATTGTCATAATCATCATCGTACATCAAGTTTATTAATACCTCCTTGCTTATTAATTAAATGTTGCCTTCCCCACTGATAAGCTGGTATTTGGAATATTGAACTCATGCCCTCCTACCTCTAATCATTTCTTTTCTTTTAATGTTGGAGGGAACACTTTTTTAAAAGAGTTGCACCCAGCCCCAGAATAGAGCTTAAATCATCCTGCTCCGTAGGTTGGAGTTTTCTATGCAAGGAAGAACAACAGAGTTTTTGGGGTCTACCAGGATGTCATCCCCCACCCCCCACCCCCCGAGTAGATGTCAACCCCTATTCATCATACTTCCAAATTTCAGACAACCAGACACTGTCCCCAAAAATAACTGGTCCCATTCGTTTAGGAAGACATATCTGCACTGCCTTTCTGTTTGCTTTTGGCCATAATTTAATGTGTTGACCATGAATGCATTTGACTCAGGATGCCTAAGGTCCTTTTTGTACTAACTCTGTTCATTAAAGAAGAAGTCTTCCACAACGCATAGAGACTTCTGATAAATATCCTGGATTTTTTGCCCTTAACTCAACTTTACTTTGCATTTAGCAAAGTCAAGGGAAAATCTGCATCGATCTCAGTCCGGCTGGCTGGACCAGCTGGAACTCAACATGGACCGACTGGACCTCAACATGGCATTCCAAGGGTTCAGGCCATCATTAATAATAATAATAATAATAATAATAATAATATACCTTTATTTGTACCCCGCTACTATCTCCCGAAGGACTTGGTGCGGCTTACAAGAGACCGAGCCCAAATATAATAGTAAAAACAACAGCAACAACAAACAGCAAAATAACTCAAAAAACAAAGCAATGACATTAACAACACACAATGACATAATTAAAATCAATAGCAGGGCCAAATGTAATAATTAATATTAAAAAGTGCTGGGCGTGACCAGGTGGAGTGTTTGGAGGGGGATGGGCATGCAGATATCCTAGATATCTGATAAAGTGCGTTGGGACATAATGCTAGGAGTTTCCTTATTCTGGGAAAGGCACACTGGAACAACCACATTTTCAAGCTCCTCCTAAAGATTGCTAGCGACGGGGCCTGCCTGATATCCTTAGGGAGAGAGTTCCAGAGTCAAGGGGCCACCACCGAGAAAGCCCTATCCCTCGTGCCCACCAATCATTGTCACACCAATCATCACAGGACAGTTAGGAGAAGAATGTTTGAAGCTTTGGACTGGTCCCACATTAAGCATCCAATGCAGATGCCATCTCAATCCTGATGGTGGCTAGCAAAGAAGTGACTAATGATATTTGAGGAAGAGGACAAAGAAACTCACCCCTTTCTTTTATTTGTGTAACAAACATGTTCTTGTTAATGGAAGGCAAATGTTCCTGTATGGCAGGCCCTCCAGCTGTGTGGGCCAACTCCCAGAATTCCTGATCATTGAACAAGTTGGCTAGGGCTTCTGGGAGTTGGAGGCCAAAACAGTTGGAGGGCCAGAGTTTGACAATGCCTGCCCTATGGTAATTACTCAGCAAAACTGATTCCAAAGGTCATTGCTTCCCCATTAGTCTTTTGCTTTCACTTGTGTACAGTTAGTTGCTTTGTTGAGTTTTTTCAAAGGAGTTTCAGGGGAACTAGAGACAAGACTGGGCCTCCTGTTAGGCTACACATGGCCTGCAGGTCCATGGCGCCTGCTTTAAGACCTTCTTTGGAGAGACTACTCCATCATGAGGAAGAATGAGACTTCCACCTCGAGTTATAGATGAGATGAGGGGAAGCAGTGGATCATCATGTAGTTTGCCAAGACGGCAATCTATCAGTTTGCCACCAATTCAAGGAAATGTCTCACTAAAGAAGAATCCTATGGAATAAGGTAATAGTTAGGTCAGATATTGCAGAGAGCCCTGATGCATCCCTGTTCAGCAAATGCCAAAACAGGAAAGCTTCTGGCATGATATCAGTCCATTCTTAAGTCTTGCTTTGAGGACTTTTGAGAAAGAAGTATGTGTGGTACATTGAATCGTAGAGGTGTAGCTCTAAGGCCAAGGGGAAAACAAGGTCATTGTCCCCCTCATAACAATTCTGCCTTGATCCTTGGAATTTTCCTCCAATTTTCATGTCCCCCATGTTTGAGAGAAACAATGAAAATTGTTCACACTTAGATGTTTGTTATTCGTGCATATATTCCCTTGGTATCTTTACCTGCCCTTTTTCCTCAGGTGTCTATATTCTTATTTCCAAATCTTCACTTGATATTGTAATACTAGACATTGGAAGGTTGATGGAAAATTTAATTGGAGAACAAATGTGTTTTAGATGGGATAAAAGATAAAGGTAAAGGTTTTCCCCTGACATTAAGTCTAGTTGCGTCTGACTCTGGGGGTTGGTGCTCATCTTCATTTCTTAGCCGAAAAGCTGGAGTTATTTGTAGACACCTCTAAGGTCATGTGGCCGGCATGACTGCACAGAGAGCCGTTACCTTCCCACCGGAGCAGTACCTATTGATCTACTCACATTTGCATGTTTTCGAACTGCCATGGCATTTAAAGTGGCATCAAACTGCATTAATTCTATAGTGTAGCTCAGGCATGGGCAAACTTTGGCCCTCCAGGTGTTTTGGACTTCAGCTCCCACAATTCCTAACAGCCTACTGGCTGTTAGAAATTGTGGGAGTTGCAGTCCAAAACACCTGGAGGGCCAAAGTTTGCCCATGCCTGGTGTAGCTGCACCCACAGTCATTTGATAAGCCTCTACAATAAACAAGCTGCTGGGTGAGATAACAGGTTTCTTATTGAGTTTGCCAAGTCATGTGTTTCTCTGCTTTTTCTCATATAACCGTGAAGGCTCAGAAAAATCAATGATGGTAAGGACATGTTTAAAATTAACTACTCTTCCAAATTGGGGAAAGCTCAACAGTGGCAGATGGGAAGGAAAAATAAAAAAGAATGTAGGTTTCTTTTTGCATCCCACCACCTGCAATGTGATCTGGTTATATTAGCCTATCTTACTCTGCTGTTGTAATGGTTCCTAAAACAATAAATGCAAAGCACCTCAATCACTTGAAATCCTCTGGATACTTTTTATGGTAGTACTTAAAGCAGGCAGACATTTGTATTCAGCCAGACTTTTGGTTGTAAGCAGCAGAAAGGGGTCTAAATGGCTGGATGTTGTTTAGTTGAAGTACCTGTCCGAACGTATCTCTCCTTACAAACCATCTAGGATGTCTGGGGAGGCCCTACTATCGATCCCACCTGCTTTGCAGATACGTTTGGCGGGAACGAGAGACAGGGCTTTCTCAGTGGTGGCCCCTCCTAGGGACATTAGATCAGCTTCCTCCCTCCTAACATTTCATTAAAAAGTTAAAACCTGGCTTTTCAAGCAAGCATTTGCAAATGCAGTGTAACAGACAAATATAGATCTGGACAATGCGACTGGAAAATTATTTTAGTAGGGAGACGCTGAGGATTTATGTTTTTGTTGGTTTTGCATAGTTTTATATTTTATATGCTAAATGTTTTTAATTGTATTTTATGTTGTTGGGGGCATCGAATTGTGCCGCCTGTAAACCACCTTGAGTCGCCTTCGGGCTGAGAAAGGCGGTATATAAGTACGGTAAATAAATAAATATGGCATGCAACATAAGATGAAATGTTTCTGCCACCACTGAACAAGACAAGATTCCCTCCCTCCCTCCCTACATTCAATAAAAAGCTACTGAGGGCCTCTTCTTTCCTTTGGTTTTTCCCTCTTCATAGGCAGAGAAATCAAAAGGAAAACTACATATGGTGCCACCAGTTCATCAGAAAGAAATCACCATGAGGAAGATCAAGATCAAACCTATTTGGATGAGAAGATTGCCATCCCAGATGTGGCAGGAGTAAGTTTGTGGATAGCAGGGAAACAGAAGATTGCACTGGGAACTGGGCTCTTGGCCAGGACATAGTATCAACAGAAGGGTGCATTAGTGACTTAATCTGGACAACAAGGCAGATTAGAGTAGTCCCTTTGATTCATATTCGTGCAACATAAATTGACCTGCTGTGTCTGCACTTGACTGGGAAAACAGGTTTTGTTTATAAAGTTGGAAGAGTAGAGGCTGCTTGAAGTTTTTGAGACCCTGGCAAAACAAAGGGGCATTGCCAATTATTAAACCCTGAGCACACACTGGTTCCTTTAGAACACTGGTTCTCAACCTGTGGGTCCCCAGATGTTTGGCCTTCAACTCCCAGAAATCCTAACAGCTGGTAAACTGGCTGGGATTTCTAGGAGTAGGCCAAAACACCTGGAACACACCCATAGGTTGAGAACCAGTGCTTTAGAAGTACCATGGATAGAGACATTATTTTAGGATGACTTTTTCTGCAACTACAGCATCTCTATGAGAAGGAGATCCTGGGAACATGGATAGTGCTTCGATGAGAGATCATCAATTAATAGCAGCTGCTGTAGGCAATATTTAGAGGAAGGAACTGGCAAAACCACCTCTGAGTATTTATTGCTTTAGAACACCCTATGAAATTATATGGTGAGCATAAGTCAACAGGCAGTTTGGAGGCACACTGTGAAGAGACCTCACTTTGCAGGCTTAATCCATGGCATGTTGAGAAAGACCGCTAGCAGAAAAGTTTTGCAGAGCAATCCAAATCAAAATAAGCCAACCTTTCACAATCTAGTGTCCTCAAGATGTTTTGGTCTAGTACTCCCTCTATTCTTTCCTGAAGATCATGCTGGCCTAGGCTCAAGAAGAACTGTCAAGAATGGTTAAGGTAAAGGTTTCTAGTCGCGTCTGACTCTAGGGGTTGATGCTCATTTCCATTTCTAAGCCGAAGGGCCAGCGTTGTCCATAAACACCTCATGTGACCAGCATGACTGCATAGAGCGTCGTTATCTTCCTGCAAAAGCGGTATTTATTGATCTACTCACATTTGCATGTTTTCGAACTCCTATGTTAGCAGAAGCTGGGCCTAACTGCAGGAGCTCACCCTATTCCCTGGATTCGAACTGCCAACCTTTTGGTCAGCAAATTCAGCAGCTCAGTGGTTTAACCCACTGCGCCACCAGAGGGTCCTGATCAAGAATATAAATGTAAAAACAAATTACCATAATATGAAAAACTAACCATAACTGGTGCAATTCTCCCTTGTATGAACAAGGTACAAGGGCATACGTTGGGCCTGATAATCTGACAGTAGTTCTTATTCTGAAGTAGCAAGACCCTTCCTTTTCTTCTTATTCCTTTTATTATATAACTTCTTGTTCCTTTTATTATTTGGTCTTCTTTGGGTAGTTTATCCTTGCTTTCTAAAGCTAGAATCAACCATTTCCTTTGATAAAATATTCAGATTTAAAGTGAGACATACAAACATAATAACCTTTTGTTGTGGGGTGTTTTTTTTAATGCCAGCTCCCTGTACCAACATTATTATTCTTTCGTTGTATGAGAACAGGATAGGGTGCTACAGGAAATGGACGAGGAGAAGTGGTATAGAGTTGTATTGCTCAAGGACTGTGAAGCAGGTGGAGGAACTAAGACATTTCTTTTTCCCTCTTCAGCATGGTTTCAGTTTTAGGAAGCTATGGGCCTTCACTGGGCCTGGCTTCCTCATGAGCATTGCCTATCTGGACCCAGGAAATATTGAGTCAGATCTACAGTGTGGAGCTGTTGCTGGCTTCCAGGTGAGTGTGTCAGTAAGGCTGGACTTGGCTGGAGGTTTAGTCTACTCTAGTGGTTCCCAACCTTTTTTGACCAGGGATTACTTGATCAGGGACTGCTTTCATCAGGGACTACTCCAACATTAGTACCAAAAGGGTTACAAATCAGTTTTTGGTTGCCTTCAGATTCGGTTTGGTTATTTGGGGTGCTGATTCAGAAAATTGGTTTGGATCGATGACATCAGCTCTAATTTCCGATACAGAACATATGCCATCCAGTAGTTGCCATCTGCTCACCCACAAAAAAACATATTTAATAAGCCTCAACATTATAAGAGGGTTTCGAAAGACTAGTCACTCTCATTGCAACTGTGTAGTAACAGTGAGGCCACAGACCATATTTTAGTTCTTGTGGACCACTGGTGGTCCACAGATCACGGGTTGGGAACCACTGGCCTACACCAATATGAAGTCAACAATCCTTTCTTGGTCTATTTGGGGTCTTTCATAAACACCTAAGTTCCTAGGCACCATACTAACATGAGGCTAACACAAGGCATTTCACTGAGAGAAGTAACAACATAGTGCTGCCTCCATTGTATATACAAAAGCAAACTAAAGCGGCAGTTGGGGAAATTAGATAGGAGATTGCCTTTCATCATTGAACTCAGTGTTGCTCTTTGACCTCTGGATTCAAATGAGCTTGGCAAGATTGGTGTCACTGTTTCTATTCATCATAGGTAGCCCGTCAGCCATGCTAAACTAACAAGTTGGGTTTGTACCTTGCAGTCATGTTTGCAATTGTCATGTGTCCCTTTTCCTTCTCAGCTCCTTTGGGTCTTGCTCTGGGCCACAATCCTGGGGCTGCTCTGCCAACGACTGGCCATCCGGCTTGGGGTAGTGACAGGCAAGGACCTGGGAGAGATATGCCATTACTACTACCCCAAGGTGAGTACAACGTGCAACAGGCTGTGATATTTGATCTGTGAAGTTTACCACCTTCCTATGAAAGGAGGAAACTCTTCATTTAGCACCTCCTTGCATATGCATTGAAGTCTTCCTCTCATGAATGTTGCCCCCAAGAGATTTTGCTTCTTGGCATGTGGGACCAGTTGGAGTAGAAGTGAAAACATATTTCAGCACTTTCAGGGGGTTGTGTACCCCTACCACAGCAGAGTTTCTCAAGTTGCTCCTGACACACACACACACAAAGCAGAGGTAGCAGCCGACTGAAATGTGCAGAACAGATTATGAGGCATACACAGCTTTATCTTTTAATAGAGATGAATAGCCAAGGAGTTCAGGAGATCAGGTAAGAGACAGGCCATTACTACCCCATTATTTGACCTCTAAAGTTGTCCTCTAAAGAGCAAAACTAAATTATATTGTATCTGCTAGAAATGAATACAGTGGTATCTGCTAGGGTTTGGTTCCCAAATCACCCGTGGACAACAAAATCTGAAGTTGCTCAAGACCTGTTACATACAGTGATGTAGTAAAATGGTGTCCCTTATATAAAAGGCAAAATCAAGATTTGTTTTTTAATTTTTTAAAAAATAATATTTTTAAACCATTGATAATTGAATCCTTTGATGCAGAATCCATGGATATGGCAAGTAAAATATTATAAATAGAACCTAGCAGACAGTGCCTCAAACACAATATTATTCATGAAGTTAAATAATGTGTTCAGTCAAGTGGCAACACACCGAATGTGGATTAGTCATTGCAGTTACTGAACTCATTATGTTGGAGAAATAAATTCATTGCCGTTGTCTTCTTTAAAAATGTTCACATTCCTGTTGACTGCAGGTGCCACGTGTGCTGCTCTGGATCATGATAGAAATTGCCATCATTGGCTCTGATATGCAGGAAGTGATTGGGACAGCAATTGCTTTCAATCTTCTCTCAGCTGGACGGTAAGATCCTCTTTCTTCCATGACCAGATGTGAAGGGGGGCAGGAGGCACAAGTGCAGGAAGGTCTCACAGAAATTGCTGCCTATTAAACCCACTTTCCACTAGATCAGTGGTTCTCAACCTGTGGGTCCCCAAGTGTTTTGGTCTCCAGCTCCCAGAAATCCCAGCCAGTTTACCAGCTGCTAGGATTTCTGGGAGCTGAAGGCCAAAATATCTGGGGACCCACAGGTTGAGAACCACTGCACTAGATCAAATAATTTAGCTTCTTCAAACTGGAAGATGTTGGCAAATAATGGAGAAACACGAGTGAATGTAAACCTTTGCCATTTTGTGTCTTCCTTTGAAGATTAGGCATAATTTCTCCACCCTTTATACTGTCAGTACCCTTACAGATTGGTCTGAATGAGTTGTGGGGTGTTTCCTCTGTCCTGGAGTCATTATGGTACTTGCCTTATCATGCATCTCAGATTAGCTAAATCAATTACAGAAACAGAGGACACAAATTTCTGTAGTAACCTAGCAAAGGAATAATCCTTGAGCCCTTCCAGATAGAGATGGGGAAAATCCTACTTGAAACCTTTAATAAACTCAATATATGCAATACTGAGTTCATGAGCCAATATTAAAGTGAGTGTTGTATGATCCCTTAAATTTTAAGAGCCCACAGCATCCTTTATAGTTTTTACCAATTTTGTTTGTCTCTTGACAGAGTTGCCACCCATTTTTTTAGGGTACTTTTTTTTTTAAAAGCCGAGTCAAAAATGGGCATCTCAGAGTCTGACACAAAACCCTGGACACAAAGAAAAGTGGCATTTTCCCCTTAAGAACGCCATATTTGTTCAAAACCGCGGCTGCACTCAAACACTGGAACACCTTTTCACCCAGCACCACACCAGTCTCCAGTAATTCTATCTAAAAATATTTATTAAAGAAAGCGGATAAAAAGGGGGAAAGGGCAATTCCAAAAGGATCAGTGAAATATAAAATATAAAATAGCATTAATCCACAAATGACAAGGAACATAAAGCCAAGGAAACCAAAATCCACGGCAGTACTCCAACATAAATCCATCAACATGAAAACAGGAACTTTTCCAAGGTAAACTCTTCAAGGAAACAAAGGCATGAACAAGAACAGGAAACTTGAGAATGCTTGAATCAAGAACTTGAGAGCAGAGACATATAACAACGTTGTCTCCTCTGAGAGGCCTGAAACCAAACCATTTACTTTAAGCCCCCTAAGACACCCATGACATCAAGCTGGACACATGTGGACTTCAGGGTCTTATCTCTGAGCCTCTCAGAATATCTAAATTTGCCTGTTTTTCACTCCCTGCATTCTCAGGCCTAATCTAGTTTCCCGGGAAAACTCCTCATCTGCCCAAGGCCTTTTCTCGAGGGAATGGTCACTTTCATTTTCCCCGTTGCTTGGGAATGAGGACAGGAATCTGCCTGTAATTCTTGGCCTCATCTGCCTGCAATTGTCTCCAATCACACACAGACTCACTTTGAAACTCATCATCCCTATCATCCTCTAAAATGTCAGAAAAATCCTCTGATGCTTGCTGGACTACAGCAGCTGCAGAGCATTGACTTCCTATAGTACTGTAAGAAGACACCAGGGATATGTGTGTGTATGTGTACTTCATACAACTATTTGCTTTATTAATTGAATACCACCTGTGATTTTCCCTTTGCAGTATTCCTTTGTGGGGTGGAGTCTTGATCACAATTGTGGACACTTTCTTCTTTCTCTTCTTGGATAAATATGGTAGGCATCTGATGTGGGGAAAGATAAAAATGCATGAGATTGAGTTCATCTCTTGAAATGTCCGGAGGTGATTGTGCTACATAGAAATTGCTTAGACAGTGCCCAAAGGCATTGCACAATAAGGGCTCCCCTACACTGACCATATAATCCAGTTTTGGAATGCAGATTTTCTGCTTTAAACTGGGTTATATGAGTCTACACTGCCATATAATCCAGTTTAAATCAGATAATCTACTTTCAGAACCCAGATTATATGGCAGTGTAGGTGGGCCCAAAGATGCACCTAAGCTAATTTCTTAAACATATCTGAAGCAGCCTTGAATTCCAGTTCCTCCTGCAATGACCAAGCGCCTCTGTTCCTTCCCTCTTAGGTCTCAGGAAACTGGAGGCCTTTTTCGGTCTCCTCATCACAATCATGGCAGTGACATTCGGCTATGAGGTAAATTCCTGCACACTCCCACAGTACCCGATTCCTTTCCCCTCCATCCTCCATTCTCTCCTGGTCCTGATTCTTCTGGACATAGGCAAAGCAACAAAGAGAAACTCTGTTAGCTGCTTCCACAGCAGGGCCCATTGCTCACATTCTACGCAGAATGTGAAAGTCGTAGTCACCTTCCCCACCCGATTGTATGTATTATTTGCCTCTGCAATCTGGTATACAGAGGTGTATTAATATAACTTCTTGTGGATGATGCTCCAATTAGTTATCAAGGATGACAATGAATAATGCACTGACATTCCATTAATTTGAATAATTTTTTAGATAATCACTCTGGAACAATGGTCACCAGCACATCTAATAACAAGAAAACTCATGGTTTCATTGGGGATTCAGAAACTCGTACTTTTATTGGAGACTCAGGGCCCTTCCAGACAGGCCCTGATCCCAGGTTTTCTGCTTTAAACTGGATTAGATTAGTCTGCACTGCCAGATAATCTGGGATAAACAGAAAACCTGGGATCAGATCCTAGGATATAGGGCCTGTCTGGAAGGGCCCTCAGTGCCCAATGCAGTATTTTCTGCTTTTATCATAATACTGCATAAACCTGGGATCATCTACTGAAACAGGGAAGAGGGGAGGACAAATGCAAGAAACTAGGGCCCCTTCCATACAGCTGTATAAAATCCCACATGTGGACTGGATTATATGGTAGTGTGGACTCAGATAACCTGGTTCAAAGCAGATATTGTATCTGCCTTGAAATTCTGGGTTATATGGCTGGATGGAAGGGCCCAAGGTCTTCATTCCAAAGTTAAACTCTGCAGTTCACTGACACTAAATGTATTGATAACTGCCTACTGGTAAAGGCTGTAATATACATTCGTGAAGAGTAGGGCTGTACATGGATATTAGTTTTGATGACTATCTATTACTTCCCCTATTGGAAGTGGTATACCTCTGTATATCTGTTGCTGTGGATTACAAACTGAAGAATGTGATTGCACATGCCCTATGGTGGGTTTCCCAGGGGAATTAACTAGGCATTGGGTGAACTAAGATATCTCCTTGGTCTTGCCTAGCTTCACTTGTCTTACATTCTTATAGAAAATATATTTGTATGAATAATAATAATAACAACAACAATAACAAATTCCCACCATCGAGTGCTGCCTTGTAATTAGCGGGGGGAGGGGGGGGCTTAACTGCTTCTATGATATTAAGAGGTGTGAAGACAAGATGGTCCCAGTGGTAATCAGCACACTGGGTGCAGTGCCTAAAGACCTTGGCCTGCACTTGAACACAATCGGCGCTGACAAAATAACCATCTGTCAGCTGCAAAAGGCTGCCCTATTGGGATCTGCACAAATTATTCGCCGATACATCACATAGTCCTAGACACTTGGGAAGTGTCCGACATGTGATCCAATGCAACAGCCAGCATAGTGATCTTGTTTGCTGTGTACTGATCTTGTTGTGTTTTAAATAAAATAATGATGATGATGATGATGATGATGATGATGATGATGATGATGATGATGATGATAGTATTTCTTGCCCACCTCTCATGGCTTGAGGCAGGTTACAACATAGCTAAAATGCATAATAGTCTTAGAGCCCTTCCACACAGCCATATAACCCAGAATATCAATGCAGAAAATCCCACAACATCTGGACTGTCTGAGTTCACACTGCCATATATTCCAGTTCAAAGCAGAAAATGTAGGGTTTTATTCAGCTGTGTGGAAGGCCCTTAGATATTCTATTAAATATGCATATTAAATTTAAATGTATTTCTATATAATATAATACATATTAAAATATACAGAACAAAGATTAAAACACTAGATGTGAGTTTAAAATTCCTGATGAAGGACCTCAGCTAAGGACCTGGATACATTCGTTCTATGTACCTTCTTACTTTAGATGCAACTGTGCCATGTACAGTAATTGTGGTATTCATTTGTAATACAGCACACTCCTACATCCTTCTAGCATGTTCAAGATAGCTTTGCAGCCATTTTTGCCTCCCATGTTTTCTGCATTGGGCTCTTTAGATTTCCTCTTCTCTCTATTGTGAAACCTTTCCCATGTCTGCATGGTCTGTCATAAAAATGTTCATCTCTTGTTTGTCCTGGTTCCTCCTGAATTTCTCTCTTCTATTTTACATCTCCCCTATTCCAAGCTCCAGATTTTCTTGTAGTTATGGGCATCCCCTTTCTTTAGATGCAGATATTTTGGAGAAATAAATTATAAAGAAGAGTATCAGAAAGGTTTCAATTAAACATTATTCCTAGTGAAAGGAATGTATGTCTCACTCTTCTTTGACTGACTTCTCATCCTTCTTCCTCCTTCAGTATGTGGTGGTGAGTCCCAACCAGAAAGAGGTGGTAAAAGGGATGTTCCTGCCCTACTGCAAGGGCTGTGGGCATGAGGAGCTTCTTCAGGCTGTGGGTATTGTTGGAGCCATCATCATGCCCCATAACATCTATTTGCACTCCTCCCTTGTCAAGGTCAGTATCTGGCACAAGGAACTGCATTCCTGAGCACATTTCTTTTCTTCCCAGTTTTGGGTGAAAGAACGCTTTTGATGTCTTCAAATCTGTCTTCAAGATTATTAGTAGAGGCTGTGACTAATGGGAACATTATCTTTTAGTTACAGTTACATGCTAACTCATTTGGTGAATGCAAAATGACATCCAGAAATGCCCTTCCCTTATTCTCACAAGTCTAAAGCAGCCCACAGAAGGACAAACTGGTGTTAAATTTGTTTTTAGTTCAGGTTCAAGTTCACATTCTTTTGCTAGAAATGATTTTCTAGACTTGGCAAGCTAGAACTGCCGCTGACTGGTTTTACTATGAAATAGATGCCCATTTTTTGCACCCTGTCCCAACCGTATCTTCATGTTGCTCATTAGATCCAGGAATAATGCATCTTTTGGGCACTCAAACCCCAATTAAAGTGGCATGGGAGAGACATGAAACAACTCTCTCGACATTTGGAAACAATGAACAAAGCTACATTAGAGCTGAGTGTGATCTCAGAAACAATTGAACGAAAGGAATGTTCAAATGTTTAGGTCAGCCGTTGGACTGCTCAAGACCAACTCCCACCCCAGTTGGTTCCTCCTTGTAGGAACGAAGTGGCAGTGGCAGGGACTAAACCTGAGTCATTCTGCAAGAAAACCCTGGGTTTTACTACTGAGTCCTCAAAATAAGGGTGCATGATCACAAATATAAGAACAAATTTCATTTCTGCGGGAAATTATCCAAATGAGAGGTTGTGATTGTTGTGTGCCTTCACATGGTTTCCAATTTATGGTGACTCTAAGGGAAACCTATCATGGCGTTTTCTTGGCAACTTTTGTTCAGAGGAGGTTTATCTTGGCCTTCCTCTGAGGTTGAGAGAGTATGTCTTGTCTGAGGGCACATCCAGACAGCGCATAAAGTATGCACCCTCTCACATTTTCCCCTGGGACGTCCAGATATGGATTCTCCCGGCTCGGCTTGGTTTTACTGGCACGTTAATCTATTAATTTATTGTTAAATTTCAATGATGATGATGTACAATGTTTTAAAATGATTTTATTGTGATTTTTAATTTTTATGGTATTTATGCTGTTAGCATCCTCTGATGCTCATGTGAGGCTGCGCTGAGTCCCCTTGTGGAGAGAAGGACGGGATATAAATATATGAAATAAATAAATAAACAAATAAACAAATAAATAAATAAATATGCTGTTTCAGAGAAAATTGAATGGTTTCAGCACAAAGCAGGAAAACCCTGCTTTGTGCCTAGGTAATGTGTCTGCTGGAAAGACCTGGGTCTTTCAGAAGACCCATGTCTTTCCAGGTGCAGGGGCTGTGTTGATGGGACCAGAGATTGCACTGTGCAATTTCTGATGCCCATCTATACATCTGTCTTGGGTTTCTTGGTCCCCTGGAGCCCTTTCTGGTGGGGGGTGGAGGTCTAGGGTTAAAGGGCTGTGTGGAACCGCCCTGTTAGCACTCAGTGGGTTTCATGGCTGAGTAGGGATTCAATCCCTAGTCTCCAGAACTGTGGTCAAATGCTCAAACGGCTAACTACGCTGCCTCCAAATCAGAGGGCTGAGTGGTTAATCTCCTAGTTCTGCTTGACAGCACAGCTTCCCCTAGGCTGCCCCTAAACGCCCACTCATCCACTTTGTGGTTTAGATCAGATTGCAGAAACTTTTTGGAGGAAATGACTAAAAATGACAAACTGGGGGAAATGCCCCTGCTTCCACCTCCCCCCTTGTTGACCCTCTGCTGCAAATGCCCTTCTTATTCTCCTATTAGCCTTAGGAGAAACATTTGGAATGTAGTTGCCTGTTTTGCTCCATTTTTAGCCCTTTTTTTAATTTGCAAAACATTTAGAGGACATTTATCCCTTTTCTCTATGTTAGCATTTTATGTTCAGCCAGATTTTAAAGAGGGCACTGAGCAAACAATACTGTGAAAAATGGCTTGTTTCATTGAAGGAAAATTTTGAATGTCTATTGAAGGACTTTCAATCAGTCCATAACACTGGCATGTACATGAGATGTTATCTGTGTAAAAATATCACTTTTTAGGAAAAGTTCTGTTCCTCTCATTACCTAAGCTTATGGTTTGGTTTGCTATAAAAAGAGATTCAGACAACACTACCCATGTGGTCATAGCCACAACCACAACCTTCTGTATTGGGGTGGGAAGATGGCAGAGATCACATTCATGACAGAAAGAGCTGTAAGATATGTTATTATTTTCCTTTAGACCAGAGACGTGGATCGTACCGACAAGAAGGCAGTAAAAGAGGCCAACAAGTACTTCCTTATTGAATCTACCATTGCACTCTTTGTCTCCTTCCTCATAAATCTCTTCGTCATGGCAGTCTTTGGACAGGCCTTCTTTCACAAACAGAACAAGGATGTGGTGAGTAAATGCCAGGCTGTCATTCAATAGGCGGCTCACAGGTTCATCTCAGTTTGGGCTTAAGGACCAAAGGTTCCTATCCCACCATGTATGGTAATGGGTTCTTCTTCTGCCTTTCCTTTTGTTTCTTCCCTAGTTAGAAGAGGGAAAAGCAAAAGTTTTAGCCAAGCAGGGACTGGCCAAGTTCTTTCTCTTTGCTTAGCTTGGCCCATCGAACTCTGAGGGCAAAGCACTTGACTACTAATAATGGTGTGATAACAGAAAATTTAAAAACAGCAGAGATGCACTTGGATGAGCAGATGCCATGAAAAGTGAAAATGAGAGAGGCCGGCAGGTGTGACTTTTTATACCCAACACTGACCCTACCATTAGGCAAAGTGAGAATGCCCTCTTAGACTGCCTCACGGGACAGACTCCTGTGTGGATTGTCCAACTTGGCTTGTTTCTTTCAAACTATCCTCAGTCTGGTGCAGGGGGATGCTGTCCAGATGCCAGTGCTGAAGTACAACAGAACTCCTATTCTATTTACCATCTATACTGGGTACAGGAGACCACCATCTTTTCCTATCCTTGAAGCAGCAATGGAACCAGGCTCAGCTCTGAGCAATGTTGGACTTCTTTTCAGTACACAATTCATAAAAACATAAAGGTCACCCAAATGAAAATTTCCTTATCAATAGCACAGTGGCCCTGTGACCCTGGATAAAACTGATCCAAGGCTCCGTCCACACAACTGAATAAAATCCCACATTATCTGCTTTGGACTGGGATATATGACAGTGTGGGCTCTAATATTCCAGTTCAAAGCAGATATTGTGGGGTTTTCTGCCTTTTTATTCTAGGTTACATGGTTGTATGGAAGGGTCCCAAGTCACGGACCCTGGATGTCAGGGAACATAAAAGTGCAATACATACATATCTTGAAAAATGTTGACAAATGCATTTTTAAAAAAAAGGAATATACTTCATTAAACAGGGTTTCGGTATTACACACAGTTTCAGTATTTCACACAGTTTCGGTAACATTTTAAGATCCAAAAATAGTCTGCAGTAGGACTGGAAATCATGAGGCCCTCTTGATATTTTGTACTACAACTTCCAGCATTCCCCCCATTAGCTATAATGGCTAGGGTTGCAGTATGACAACACTTGCTTTAAGCTAAAGGGAAAAGGATTAGGCCAAAATATAATAAAAACCTTTCATACACTCCTTTGTAAAAAAAAAAAATCCATGTGCCCCCTGGTTAAACAATCATCAATTGTCTACAGGGGACATCCTGATACTCCCAACTTCTTTAAACTAATAGTGTATTAATAAAAGTTTTAAAATGGAAATGCTAGCTGTAGACCAGTTGGACTTTCACTCGCTCTGATGATGAGTCGAAGAGCTGGGAGATCTCCAGTATGTGTTTCTGAGATTGATTTATTTCTGGATCAGTGCATCATTCAAGAAAAAAGAAGTCATTGGCTTTGAATAAGAAGGGATTGGTTTGAAGTGATTAACTGTTTAATTTAAACATTTAAACATCCTGCTCCTATTTTATCTCATCATAGTCTGTTAATTGGCTTTTTATTCAGAATATGTGGCCCGTCCATTGTCATCTCTATTGTGATTGTGTCTATTGGAATTTTATTATATTCTTTTATTTTATTATTATTTTTAATGTCATTTTGATAATGTTGTTGTTGTCTGTTGTATATGTTTTGATTTTATTGCTGTATTATGTTGTCTGGGCTTGGCCCCGTGTAAGCCGCTCTGAGTCCCCATCGGGGAGATGGTGGCGCGGTAGAAATAAAGTTTATTGTTATTATTATTTAAGGTACTGATGCATGTTGTGTTTGTTTCTTCTTAATCCATTTCCCCATGCATTCCAGCATGATGTCTGTGCCAACCAAAGCATGTTCTCCAACCACAGTATTTTCCCAAATTTTCCTGATGACAACAATACAGTCTCGGTGGACATTTTCCAAGGGGTAAGTCCCAGCAGAATCATGCCTATTCCCTCTAGCAATATTGCTGTTGGATGCAATGCACATGTAGTTGAATAATACCCACAGGGGAGCTTTCAATTGCTACTCTTCCTTTTTGGGTGGTGAATGTACACAATAATCATTATATTGGGTTGCTGTGAGTTTTCTAGGCTGTATGGCCATGTTTCAGAAGCATTCTCTTCTGACTTTTCACCCACATCTATGGTAGGCATCCTCAGAGGTTCGGGGGTCTTTTGGAAACTAGACAAGTGAGGCTTATATATCTGTGGAATGTCCAGGGTGGGAGAAAGAAGTCTTGTCTGCTTGAGGCAAGTGTGAATGTTGCAACTGGCCACCTCGGTTAGCATTGAATAGCCTTGCAGCTTCCAAGCCTGGCTGCTCCCTGCCTGGGGGAATCCTTTGTTAGGAGATGTTGGCTGGCCCTGATTGTTTACAACAGACTTCACAACCTCTGAGGATGCCTGCCATAGATGTGAGTGAAACGTCAGGAAAGAATGCTTCTGGAACATGGCCATACAACCCAGAAAACTCACAGCAACCAAGTGATTCCAGCATGAAAGCCTTCGACAACACAATCATTATACTGTTAAGGAGGCAATCTATTAAGGCAATATATTAAGAAGTAATCAAGGCTGCCTATAGGATAGCTCTAGGAGGCACCTCCTTTTGCCACCTTCTTTGAAATGGTACCAAGCCACTTCTTTTTTTAAAAAAATCACAACTTTTCTTGCACATTTGTATATAGGCATTCTCGATTATTGACTACCTGAAACTAAACTCTGAAATTCTCACAATGTCAGAGAAGTGGATGGTTTTGATGGGAGGAATTCACTTTTTGCATTTTTTAAAGAAAATATAGGGATCACCCTCTTATTAAATTCAAAGTGACCTATTCCTTGCAAAATAACCATAAGTGCTACAAAGAAAAATAGTCCAGATCTTATTTAGGGCAAAGTTATTAGCTTTTAATTAGGAAAAATTCAGGAAAGAATAGCTGACTTTAGTTGGTGGTAGTCTGTATGTGGAGAGTTCCACATAGAATCAAACTGTATGGTTTTCTTTCGGCATTGAATGTTTGCCATATATGTTGGAAACCGCCCTGAGTCCCTTCGGGGAGATAGGGCAGTCTATAAATAAAGATCATCATCATCATTAAACTATTATTTTAAAAACATGCTGATATTCACATTACTTCCATGAAAGTGCACAGAAGGACAGGAGAAGTAACTACCAGCACTCATGGGGGGCTAACTTGTGTGAGCAATATCCATGCTTAGCTGCCTATAAGCACTGATTTTGGCTTTTTCCTCCCCAGGGAATCATCTTGGGCTGTTACTTTGGGCCCATTGCACTCTACATTTGGGCTGTTGGAATCCTTGCAGCTGGTCAAAGTTCAACCATGACTGGGACATATGCTGGACAGTTTGTTATGGAGGTGAGAGACTGTGGTGGATTCTTCCTGTATCGGAGTTGGCAGCCAAGCACCCTCTAGATTAGTGGAGTCCAGCTCCCATCACCTACGATTGTGGTTGAAGTTGATGGGCTGTATATTCCAAGACTCTTGATGGCCACGTCGCTGCCTATCCTTGGCCTAGCTGCACTATGTGTCGGAAGCTCCTCTACACTGCCATATAAATCCAGATTATTTGCTTTGAACTGGATTATATGGCAGTGTAGACTCCTATAATCCAGTTCTGGATTTGAACTGCCTTGAAGTGGATTATAGGAGTCTACCTTGCCATATAATCCAGTTCAAAGCAGATAATCTGCTTTGTTAATCTGGATTATATAGCAATGTAGAAGGGGCCTTAGATCAGCACCAATGTAACTAAATCTGTTGGATCCCAGCTGCCTTATATCAAATCAAATCAATTAGTCCATTTAGTTCTGTGTTGTTTTCTCTGCTTGGCAGCAACCCATCTAGATATCAGGCAAATATCTTTTTCCTACCCTAACAAAGGTTGCAGGAATTGAATCTGGGATGTTCTGCATGCAAACAGAAAAGTTACTTTTTTAATGCCAACTCCCAGTATCTTCCAGACCAGTATAACATTTCTGTGCTCCATTTGCAAAGTAGAGGCTCTTTCACTGAGCTACAGTGTACTCTATTCTCAGCTTCTATTTTTGCTCTTTGCCCTTTTATAGTCCTCTTTCTCTTCGTGTGACTTTGTTCCTTTGCATCTTACAAAAAAACCTAAAGAAACTGTTCTAAACATCATCCCACTTATTTTAGTTAAGTGTTGTATTAGTTACAGTGTTCATAAGACACAGATGATCCACATCTCTGTCACACTTGGGTTAAAACTAGTAGCTTTTCTGTATAATATGGAACAAAGTTCATTGTACTCTTTTGTTGTTATTATTTTCTGTAACCCTAAGTGGCCCTCTAGATCTTTCTCACAAATATCACTCTCACATGCTCTTTTTCTTGTGGCTCCCTCTCAGTTCTGCCAATGCTGATTGTCCCTTTTAAGTTCAAACTAATTTTAGCATCTCAGCATTTATATTTATTTTAGTTTGGTAGCCATTATGGAGCTACAGATCCATTACCCATAGTAGCACATATCTTTTTATATGGACTCGTTAGCTTTTTATCACAGATTCAAAATAGGGGTGACTTTGTGTCTGTCAGACCAGGAATAGTAAATCTTCAACCTGTAGTTTTACAGTGAAAAAACTGTAATGGCCACATGAGGCACAGATGGGGGAGTTACATTAGGCCAAATTTTTCAAACGTTGCTTTAAAAATTATAAAACCCAACTGGAATCAAAGTTTGAAAACATTCTGGGTTTTTTTTTTTAAAGACAGCTCCCAGAATCTCCCATCTAGCAAGGCTGTTGTGATTTGGGTGTTATAGCTTAAGAAAGTAACTTTTCCTAGTGCCATGACAGGCCTATTGGAACAGCAAAGGACTCTTATGGTGTATGATATCTGCCCTCATAGATAATTCATAATTTCTTGTTCCTTTTCCCCAACAATCTTTGTAACACCCATGTTCTTGTTTCCAGCACACATTGACATATTGTAGCCTGAAGTCATGCCATCAGTATTATTTATATCCAAGTTTTCCAATCACTTTGTTGTCTACTTTTGATAATAAAACAAAAACAACAACAATAAACTTTATATATATTCCCTTCATCTCCCCAAGGAGACTCGGGGTGAATTCCAACAAACAAACAATATAATGTAGACATATATTTGTTATGTCAACATTAACAAATATAGACATAATATCCCAAAATAACCCCTCTTGTGAAAATAACTTATAACATGACATGAATAGATTAAATAAAACATAACCTATCTTAAAAAAATATCTAACATAAAACCTAAATATAAATAATCAAAAATCCACATTAATTTACAGGAGCCAATGAAGGTTCACTCAGATATGTGGGTTGGTTTTTATGGTCGGTGATGTTAACTGTGCTAACATGATCTAACGAAGCCTGAATGCAGTAATACAACAAGCCCTTGTATCAGCCAAAACAGTACCACTACTTATGTTGGACTATGGTTCCCATCACCCACTGTGCTGCTCAGAGCAGTAAGCTGGACAAAAACACATAATGGGTGCACAGTATAACACCAGCAGTAGATCCTGGGGTTCAGAGCTGATGCTGGCCTGGATCCAGAGATTTAATTTGGGCCCCAGGCATGGTATTTCCGTGAATGCAACCAAATATGGCATAGTTCTTTTTAACAGCTTCTGGTTATTATTCAGCTTTTTAATCAGCTAAGACGCATTGGGCCATGCCAATTTCCAGTTATGTTTATTGTGCCAAATATTTTACACAGTTCCTATTAGTAAATCCTATGTTCTTCCCAGAATCATTTTTATTCCTGTCCAGACTTGTGTAATCTACCGTTTAACTGTTCTTCTACATGAGCAAGCACAAAAGAACAGTAACCCATAAAAAATGAAAACAGGAAGAATAGCCTACAGGGAATTAAAGTGTGAAAAAACCATACCCTCTCTCCAGTTAAGATATGGACTTCCAAAGCTTCAGTGACAGCAAATGGAGAAACATCAGTAGCAACTACTCTGCACTCTTGCTTTCAAAGGATTAGTCCATGTTTACAGACCAACAAACATACATTAGTGCAGATGTTTTAATGTACAAATAAACTTTTTGCACAGCTGGTAAATCTTCAAGATATGTTGAACCACAGTCATCCAATTCTGCTCATCCCCAGAGTGTATATGGTAGTCATTTCATTATCCACCCCCAAAACATCTGGAGGGCACTTGATTGGTAAAGAACTCCCTGCAAACTCCCTGCTCTCAATGCTGGCAGTGGCTTCAGAAATAAGGGCTCTGTATGATGCCAACATTTTAGCACATGAACTTGAGAAACTCACTGCTGCTGCCTGTCTCAATCTGGTGCCCTCCAGATGTGTTGGATTACAAGGAACATCATTTCCAGATGTGCTGGATTGCACTGTATATACTCCCCCACAAGATTTGTAATGAAGCACATCTGGGAAGACAACAGCATATGATTTGCACTCTTAGGTTGTTGCAATGGCAGCGCTGCCACCCTCTGGTGAAAATGTGCACAAAGTCAATCTTTTGGTTAAAGGCAAGATTCAGACTAAAGGACTTCTACTTGAACCCTACTATTTTGGAATAACCTTTCTCCAACCCTATGGCCTGTGCAATGAAAGTTATCATGGGATTTTTTTTTCTTTGAGAAATAGCTAACACAATTAAAAAGCCTTATTACAGAACATGTTGTGTATCCCTTATCTGGAATTTTGAAATCCAAAATACTCTAAAATTGTCTTCATGGATAGTTGAGGTAGTACCACCTTTGCTTTCTGATGGTTCAGTGAACAGAAGTTTTGTTTCATACACAAAATTATTAAATTATAATAAGTACCCTTAGGCTATGTGTATAAAGTGTCTCTGAAGCATACATGCATTTTGGGTTTAGACTTGAGCCCCATCTCAAGCTATCTCAAGTATTTCAAAATCCAGAATGAAGAACATTTCTAGTCCCAAACATTTCGGATAAGGAATGCTCAATCTGTACTTTAAATACTGACAGATTTTTTTTTTAGCACATATAGATACCAAACCTATTTCTGATCCTGTTGTTTCCTTCACTCTCAACCAATGGGTTGTTGTTCTTCTTTACAGTTTTTCTTCCTTAGTCAACCTCTTTCTTTATCTCTCCAACTACCTCTTCCCTCCTTCACGAAGATAGTTGTGTTAATCTGTTTCATCATAAAAAGGAATGAAAGGAGTTGTTTGCCAGTACCTTCCAGACTATCTCATTTATTTTGGCCTGAGCTTTCATGGATTTCTATCAGATGCACTGATGGTGTCCAAAATAAATGTCCCAGCTGTTATAGTATTTATTTGAGCAATTATATTGATGTGAAAGAAGAATTTACCACTAGGTGGGGCATACTCTCGAGATCACAGTTTGCTTCGTGAGTAGCTTCTTCCTACCTACAACCTGAGAGGGAAGAAAATATGACAACAGCAGGAGGTAGCAAGAAGACTCATGGTGAAGATGACATCTTATGCTTCATTGAGTGATGATGACTTGATATCTGTAAAAAAATGTCTACCTTCTTGTCTCCCACATAGGGTTTCCTGAAGCTACGCTGGTCCCGCTTTGCCCGGGTGGTCTTCACTCGTTCTTTAGCCATCCTTCCCACTGTCTTCCTTGCTGCTTTCAAGAATGTGGAAGCTCTGACAGGCCTCAATGACCTTCTCAATGTATTGCAGAGTATCTTGGTGAGGAATCCCTCCTGACTATTCCTCTTTAAATATGCAGGCAGGATCTAAGGGAAAATGGCCTGTTGGACTAAGGTTGGCCTTTGGTTCCCAACTTTTGGTCTTCCATGTGTTTGGGGCTTCAGCTTGGCCAGCTGTCAAGACTACTGGGAACTGAAGTCCAAGAACGCTTGGGTTGGGAACCACTGGACCAATATATTGTGCTGCCCAAGTGCAGGAGCAAGTCAGAGCCAACCACCCAGATGAGGGTGTGCAATCCAAAGCCAGTCAAGTTATTTTTGGTACAGAGGAAGAAGATCCCACAGTCATCTTTGTTACTTCTACAAGTACCTCTTATAGAGATACTTGTAGAAGTAACTAGTATCTCTCCAAGAGATAACTAGTACTCTATAAGAGGTCCATTTCTATCAATAACAAATACAATTAAATAAGTAATCGTTTTCTGCCCTTTGGTGACACCCCAAATTTGCCTCATTGACTATTCATAGGGCCATCCCTGTGCCAGAGACTCCATCACAGAGTTAGGCCCCTTCCACACAGCTGAATAAAATCTCACATTTCTTGCTTTGGACTGGAATATATGGCAGTGAGGACTGGGATAACCCAGTTAATATTCTGGGTTATATAGCCATGTGGAAGGGCCCTTAGAAAAAGCTACTGTTTGGGGATTATACATCTCTTTCTCCTTAGTGTGCTCACATACATGATACCATATGCACCCCATTCATCCAACATACAAGGCCTACATATCCAACATAGCCACTAGCCATGGTGACTTTGGGAGTGGGAGTTGTAACTCAAAGAGTAACATTCCCATACTTCGATTCTCCCCATCCATGAGAGATAGGAATTATGACACAATTGCAGTACCAAATTGTGAGGGAAGCAAGAGACCTTTGGGGTCCCAGGTTAGAACTAGCTTCAAAAATTTCGTTGTTCAGAAGGCAGCAGGAATCATCTAATGAGGAACAGTTTCTTAATTCGCTGTTCTCTAAATCCAGATACTTTGGTGGTCCTTGAATATGGAAGGAGAAATGCTGTTCATTTGTATAAAACATCAATGTGTACTTGACAATTTTTCCTTCTGTTTCTAGTTACCTTTTGCAGTCATACCTGTTCTCACTTTCACCAGCATGCGGCCTCTCATGCAAGACTTTGTCAATGGGATGTAAGTAGCTCCATCTTCTTGGTTGGGAATTCTTAGGGAATCTGTTGTATTTTCATCACAAAGAATAGTTTTTCATTGAAATTCCCACTAATTGTGGTGCATACAATATAAAAAATTTGCATTTACCTTAAGATTGCCAACTAACCTCTGTATTTCCCTGTCTTTATCGCAATCCAGCTCAATTAGCGAAAAGTCAGGAGAAATGCCTCTAGAACATAGCCATATAGCCCGAAAAAACCCACAAGAACTCAATTATGTTTGCTTGCCTCTCCACGTAAACAACTTCACTTTATGTTTATCAATTACAAGAGCTGCTCAGGAAATGTTGAAATTCTACTAAAATAAAACCCTCATTCTATTCTCAAACTAAATAAAATACATAATTCATTCTGACCGCAGTATCTGGAGGGGAAGCAAGTTTTCAAAACTAGGCTTTTTACAATGTAATATTTTGTTTGAGGGAAGAGATAGGGAGAAACATATACCCAGAATATTCACAGGGGACATGGGAATGGCATCCACTGAAAACAGAGAGTGGGTCAAAGCTACCCTAAATGGTGACCCATGGACTGCTGCCATCCCACAAACCATCAGTTATCAGTCTCTGGAGAGCTTTCAGGAAAGAAGTAAGCAATAGTAACCAATCGGGCAAAAATTCAGTACTGGCCATGGCACACCGGGGAATTGCCTACATGGATACCATAAGAACCACTGTTGTAACCCCCTTGTTTGCTTGACATGCTACTCAAAGGCCGCGTGGAACTTTAAATACTTTTTCTCCCATGTTTTGCTACATTTATGAGGGTTGTTGCTTCATGATTATTGATTTTATTCAGACATAGCAAATACAGAATGTAGGTCTTGATATTCTATGCGCCTGGAGTAGGTGTGGATTTAAACATTTGTTAAAGGGGATGCTTTTTTCAATGTTCCTCCTGACTGCCATGTTTTTGACCTCTCTTCTTTAACCTTTTATCTGTTCCTCCTTAGCATTGGGAAGTTGATAATGATCCTCATCACTGGACTGGTCTGCGCAATCAACATCTACTTCGTGGTGACAACTGTTATGGGCCTGGGCCATTTAGTGTACTACATTGTCATATCATTTGTCCTGGTTGCATATGCAGCCTTCGTCTGCTACCTGGTAAGAATATGACAGATCAACGTGGCACCTTTTTGAGTACAGAAATTGAAAGCCAAAATTAGGATTAATATTATGGGTAAAGTAAAGCTAAAGGTTTCCCCTAACATTAAGTCTAGTTGTGTGCGACTCTGGGGGTTGGTGCTCATCTCTATTTCTAAGCCGAAGAGCCAGCGTTTGTAGACCCCTCCTAGGTCAATTGGCTGGCATGACTGTCATTACCTTCCCACCGAAGTGGTACCTATTGATCTACTCACATTTGCATGTTTTCAAACTGCTAGGTTGGCAGAAGCTGGGGCTAACAGCAGGATCTCACCCCACTCCCCAGATTCAAATCACCGTCCTTTTGGTCAGCAAGTTCAGCAGCTCAGAATTTTAATCTGCTGTGGTAACCAGAGGGGCCCTATTATGGGGGGCAATCAATTATTAGTCTGAATATATGCATTTATTAGTGTGGTTAATGAAACTGTTTCAGTTTATTACTGAAACATTTCAGCTTTTATCTTCCCCATTTTCTCAAAACAAATACAAGCTCACTTTTAAGAATCAATATTCTTAAAAGGTGGCTTTTGAGAATATTGATGTAATAGTGTGTTAAATTAGATGACAGTATTAAGTATTCTCTTCTGGGTTGAAACCACTTGGTTTTCACGTATTATACTTCAGGATCCCTTTTTCCCCAAAGTACTTGAAAAAGATAGCACTTCATTTCCAGATATAGACAAATCAGGGAGGGTGTGGGGTTAAATGTCTAGCCACTTGTTGCACAAGCTTTGTGGATAATATTACAGAAATGTACACACTCGTCAATGGTGGTTTGCCCATGTATTGCAGGTGGCATTCTGTACATTAGAATTTAATTTCATATAGGGAATAAGGTCTCCCAAGGGAAAAAAAATCTTCTCTAAGTCCTAGCAGTGAGATTCTAGTGCTAACTTGACACAAGTAGCATGATGTCAGGTCCCATAGATCATTTTCTGGCTCTCCTTTTGCAAGATGCATAAAAGAGTCTTGCCCAACTTTGGCATCCTTTCGCAGCCACCTTGGGCATGAAGGGAGCCATGGTACAACTGATATGGAAAGTACCAGGTTGGAGCAAGCAGTACAAATAGCAATGGCATGGGGAGAGAGGACCATCTTTGACTGAAGTAACCTTCCTCTATAGCAGTGGTTTTCAGCCTTTGGACCTACATCTGCTTTAGACTTCATCTCCCAGAATTCTCGATAATTGGCTATGCTGGCTAAGACTTCTGGGTGTTGAGAATCCGAAAAACACCTGGAAGATCCCAGATTGAGAACCAGGATGGAGAGTAGCCACTACCAATTGTCAGCTTATGAAAAATAGCAGTTTTATGAAAACAGCTATTGGAGCAGTTGGACAAGAATAGGGGAAGAATGATCAGATCAAGAGAAACTATATGCTTTTGAGCATCTTTATTTCATCTGGTCTAATTTTTCTCTATTCCTATTCCAGATTTGGACATGCCTTATCTCCCATGGAGCTGCTTATCTGGCACGGGGACCCCATACTCGGTTTGGTTATGGACTACAAGACTAGAGCACCACTCAGAGCTGTACCTTGGAAGCTGATAAATTGCCACACTCCATCCTTATTATGACAAGAAGCATCTGACCCTTTGGTTTTGCAAAGAGGTAGAGGTGCTAGAACATTGATTTTGACTGGCAAGGATGTCGTCAAGTGGCAAAATGTATGTTTTATGTCCAGAAAGTTCTCAGTGTCCTTTGAAGAATCTTGAGACACCGAAAAGCTGTGGCCAGTTAAGCTAGAGGACCTGACAGCATATTGTTCTAATAGGAAAGAATATCTTCAGTGGAACAAACTGAAGATAATGACTAAAGAATGACTAAGCAACTGTTCCAAATGACCCACACATCCTCTTCTAGGCAAAACAAAGTGGTTTACATAGTTTTCTGTTAAGGCATCATTTCAAAATTCAAGGAAACTATTATGGACATGATCGCAGATACACATGCACACATACACAAATGGCACCTTTGGTGTGATCTGACAAGCCATAAAAAAACAAGTCACTTTCCCAAGAAATAGAGCACTGAGCTTTGCTAAGCCACATCTGTAACACTATTCAAATGCCCATTTCTCAAACAAAAAACTGGAAATATTGAGAGAAAATCACAATGCCCCATACAAATGCAACTAGACAATCCCCCCATGAAGGGATGTAATTATGGAGGGTAGGTATGAAGGCATTACCCTCCAATAAAAAAAATCTGTCCCCATGAATTTTTCCAGTGAGTCAACAGTGGGATGATTTCCTTGGGAGGTGATGGACTCTCAATCTTCAGCTGCATTGACCTTGAGATTGAAGGACTGTCTCTCAGTGTGTTTTTGCTGTGGATTCCTGCATGACAAGGGGTTCAATTGGATGACCATTGTGGTCCCTTCCAACTCTACAATTTGACTTGTGACTGGAGACATTGAGGTTCTCCAGATGTTGGTGAACTACTTCTCTTTGTGTTCCTCAACACTGGCCAGTCTGGCAAATGGGAATCCAACATTATGTAGGCTACCTATTCTAGCCACTCTCCCTCAACAAATGTACACTATATAAGTGACATAACTTGCCATTGGGAAGGAAACACAAACTTTCAAATCTGTTCTTTTAGCATGTACAGTTTTTTTTCCATGTCAGGAACAACTTGAGAAACTGCAAGTTGCTTCTGGTGTGAGAAAATTGGCTGTCTGCAAGGATGTTGCCCAGGGGGTGGCTGGATGTTTTACCATCCTTGTGGGAGGCTTCTCTCATGTCCTTGCAATGGGGAGCTAGATCTGACAGAGGGAGTTCAACCAGCTCTTCCTGGATTCGAACCACTGACCTGCCGGTCAGCAGTCCTGCTGCCCAAGGAATTACCCCATTGCACCACTGTCGAACTGGACAGGTCGTAGGTTCGAATCCGGGGAGAGGCGAGCTCCCTCTATCAGCTCCATATGGGGACATGAGAGAAGCCTCCCACAAGGATGATAAAAACATTAAATCATCCGGGCGTCCCCTGGGCAACGTCCTTGCAGATGGCCAATTCTCTCATACCAGAAGCGACTTGCAGTTTCTCAAGTCGCTCCTGACACGATAAAAAAAACCCCACTAGAAGCTCATGTACAGTTTATATGGTTTGGCATGTATTAACTTGTGTTTAATGACCATACAACCATGGACCTCCAGATGTTCTTGACATCTATTTCCAGCAGCAATAACTAGTATAGCTAATGTTGCAGTCCAATAATATCTAAATGCTTAATTGCTTACTTATGACATTAGTCTTTGCCTGTAAGGAAAGTAGAGTTTGATATTTGAAAAGAAGAGGAAATTTGACAGAGTTCAATATGAAATGGCTTGCACTGACTGAAATTCTCTGTAACTTTTCTCTGTAATAGCCATTCAAGGCGAATAAACCACATTTCCTTTGCTAAAAAGAATATCGTTCCCTAGAGCTGTCATTTTTTATACTTGATTCTGTTTCTGTACTAATAGCAGGAGTATGCGAAAGATAAATATTATATCTGTGCTACAAAGAACTTCCACCTGATTTTGATGAAACAGATGCCCAAGATTTAATAAGGCAGGTTATTTCTAGCCAGTTGGTAGCTCCTTTGTAAACAAATCTCATTTATCAGAAGGTGAATGTGAAGAGCAGGAAATCAGTTCTTCCTTTGCCTCCAAATGTCTATGTCCTCATTCTTCCTCTGGTTTTAACTATAAGCCTGCGAAAAACTGACTGTAATCTCATTCTAAATTTGTTAACTGCTTCACTTTTTCATATTTTCACTGATTAGTTGAGTAGTGGAAATACATGTGACCTACTCCATGTAAGATGAACTGACTTGGTAGTGAAAAAAACTATTTCCACAGCTAACGAACATATAGTTTAAGGGGAAAGAGAATTGATTTGTTTTCTTTCCTCTATTTAGCTATTTAGAAATCTCAGCCAGAGTGCTCAAATGCCTCCCTAAACTACGGATCCCAGGATTCAGTGGGATGGAACCATGGTAGTTAAAGTGAAGCAATAGTACTATAATTGTGTAGTATGAGTGAGCTTCAGGTGGTTGTAGTCCAGCACTTCTGGAAGACAGCTGACCTGGCAGGGGAAGGGTGATTTGAACTTGAATGCTTCTTGTACCCAAGTCCAGCTCTTTGTTTACTGTATCACAGGGGCTGCATTTTTCATCAGCACTAGATTAATACTTTAAGCAATACAAAAACTGTGCATTTCTAAGGCAGCTCTGCTAATGCTGCATTCCCCATTCCCATGTCACCCCAACTTCCTCCCCACAGTCCTATTTACATAACAAAAAATTAATACTATTGAACTTGAGACAAGAGTCTGAGACAAGTAGAATTGCATTTTGGCCACATGGGGGTCACCAGTTTCCCTTAGATTTTTTTTTTCAGATCACATCTAGTTTGGACTGAAGCCTTACTTTTTCCTTTCTATCCTCTCCTGGCAAGAGTGCTGTTGATTTTTAAGTATGCTACAGCATGCCATTCATGTGTCCCTCTTGGCCTTCACCGCAGCTCAGTCTAAGCGAATTAGCAGACCCTGGAGATGCTCCCATCCCAATTAGCGTCTGAAACAAAATCTCTCTCAGGGAACTAAGCTTTGTACTAAATCAAACAGGATAACCACATGGGCACAGGATTATGGTTGCTGTTCCTTACAGCAATGTTTTTGTCCCTTTAACAGCTGGATGACAGGCCAGGATGAGGGACGCACCTGTAGAATTTCTTCCCTTCCTTAACACACAGAGTTTAAGTTAGCAAAATGTGGCAGTACTAGACAGGGGGAGAGCCCAAAGATATCCCATCCCATATGGAACCCCCATCAGCTCCAAAAAAATCTCAATATTCAGTATCTCTGCCCTCCCCTCCCCAAATATTTGTTTTATCTTTTGGTCCATTTGAATCCCTTCTGCATCTCTACAGTTAAAAGATAATCCCACTCTTTCTGTGCAATGGCACAAAAAGATCAAACACCATGGCAGTCAATGGAATAGCTAATTGTGGCAAAAGGTTTTTCCCAAATGCACAAAGCCTAGCAGGGTACAATTACGTTAGGGGCATTTATGAAAGACATAGGGAGCCCCCAGTGATGCAGCAGGTTAAACAGCTGAGCTGCAGAACTTGCTAACTGGGTGAATGGTTCAAATCCAGGGAGTAGGGTGAGCTCCTGCTGTTAGCCCCAACGTCTGCCAACCTAGTTGTTTGAAAACATGCAAATGTGAGTAGATCGATAGGTACCACTTCAGCAGGTAGGTAACAGCTCACCATGCAGTCATGCCAGCCACATGACCTTGGAGGTGTCTATGGACAATGCCAGCTCTTTGGCATAGAAATGGAGCTGAGTACCACCCCCCAGAGTCGGACATGACTGGACTTAATGTCAAGGGGAAACATTAACCTATAATAGAAATAGAGAACCAATACACTTCTAAAGTGTTGTTGGACTAGAACACCCATGCTTTCTAATTGCTCACTATTGGCTGTCCTAGAATTTGCAGATGTGGGGACCATCTGGAGAGTCACATGGTCCCCACATCTGATATCTTTGGAAGGAGGTAATATTCAGCATACTTTATGGAAGTTATCAGCAATTCCATAAGGCCCTTGTAAGCTTAAACACGGCCATCCCCACATTTCAAACAGGATTCATAAGAGAGTGGTAAGTCTTTGGGCACTGCTAGAAGGGATTGGCAGGAGGTCTGTGATAAGAAATTGATACAGTACACACAGTAAGAAAGATGCAAGTTATACAGAAATCATGAAACTGATACCATTTAGTTTAGGGTTAGACACGATACAGTTTGATGGGTACAGCTGCTGCTAGGTCCATTCCCAATCCTCCAAAGCATTTCTCAACTTGGGGGTTGGGACCCCGGGGGGGAGGGTCACGAGGAGATGTCAGAGGGGTTGCCAAAGACCATCAGAAAACGTAGTATTTTCTGTTTTTCATGGGGATTCTATGTGCAAAGTTTGGCCCAATTCTATTGTTGGTGTGGTTCAGAATGCTCTTTGATTGTATATAAAATATAAATCCCAGCAACTACAACTCCAAAATGTAAAGGTCTACTTTCCCCAAACTCCACCAGTGTTCGCATTTAGGCATATTGGGTATTCGTGCCAAGTTTGGTCCAGATCTATCACTGAGTTCACAGTGCTCTCTGGATGTAGGTGAACTACAACTCCCAAATTCAAGATCAATGCCCACCAAGCCCTTCCAGTATTTTCTGTTGGTCATGGGAGTTTTGTGTGCCAACTTTGGTTCAATTCCATTTTTGATGGAGTTCAGAATGCTCTTTGATTGTAGGTGAACTATAAATCCCAGCAACTACAACTCCCAAATGACAAAATCTACCCCCCCCCCCCCAATCAGTATTCAAATTTGGGTATTTGTGCCAAATGTGGTCCAGTGAATGAAAATACATCCTGCATATCAGATATTTACATTACGGTTCATAACAGTAGCAAAATTACAGTTATGAAGTAGCAACAAAAATAATTTTATGTTTGGGGGTCACCGCAACATGAGGAACTGTGTTAAGGGGTTGCAGCATTAGGAAGGTTGAGAAACACTGCTCTAAAGCTTTAAAATTTCACAACTTCTGGTCTTTGAAAAAGGTTTTTAATAAAAACTCATATATTTATTTAGAGTTTCTTAGTGAACTATAAATCTTTCTGGGGGGGGGGTGGTTTACCTTGGGTTGATAACATCATCAGCTGTTTTGGGATTTCAAAAGAAGGGTAAGCACTGGAGCAATCTACACCAGCCTATCGCAAGGAATGCTGGGATATACAGTGCTCCATAGCTGCAAATTTTACACCCAATATTGGATTTTATTAGAACTTTTTCTATCACGTGTTTTTCATGCCGTCCTGCGATCAAGTGCACATTTTCAGTCTGTGTTTTCCTTTTATTCTGCTTTCTTCCACTTGTTGGTCTTGTGTAGAGAAAGGAACTGGCAAAACTACCCCTGGGAATGTCATGCTTAAGAAAATCAATGGGGTTACTATAGGTCAACAGAAAACCTGAAGGCACATGCAGCATTGCTGTTGAAACTGAAAAAGAGAGGCATCAACACAGGTTATTTTAAGAGTGAGAACTGAGGAAAGAGAAGCATGAAAGAAGGAAGTGCTAAGAATACAGGACCAAACTATTCAGCATTTTCAGCAAAAAGAGTGAGGAAAGAAGTTGTTGACGGAATCTGCTGGTTGCAAACAAACCAGGAAGCTTTGTTAGCATTATGTAAGAACCAGGAAGTCATGCAGGATGATCCAGCTGACCTCACGAATGGCACGAATAATAGAAACGTAATGGCATTTAATTGTACTGTTCAAAGTATCAGGCCACATAACAGCATCCTCTAAAACGACCCGTGCCAATGTCTATCTATGAGCACTATCAACCAAAATGGGCCACAGAGTTCAATTACAAAATATCTTAACAAGCAAAGTTTCAAACTGCGTTTTATTGAAATAGTGAAAAGCAAATGGCATTATAGATTTAAAAACACATAAAATAATCGTTTAAATAAGTGAAGTTATCCACAGTGAGTTCTATTAAAATCTTGGTCATTACTAACTTTTCACATTGATATGAATGGGGCATAAGTTCGAATGACTGAAATTGAAATTCTGGACCATTTACCTAAAAATAAGACTTTTTGAAATCAGGAGAATGTTTTATACTTGTATCTGAAATGGAATATGTGGTATTTTAATACAAGAGGGCATGGGCAATGAAGACACCTTCAGGTAAGACTCTGGAGATTCATCTACATTGCAGATTTAATGCAGTTGGACGTCACTTTAACTGGCATGGCTCAGTGCTATGGATTTGTAGTTTGCTGAAGCACCAGCACTCTTTGGCAGAGAATGCTAAACAGACAAGAGATTTTTTCTCCCATCCTGGATATTCCACAGATGTACAAACCCCACTTGCCTAGTTTACAAAAGACCTCACAACCTCTGAGGATGCCTGACATAGATGTGGGCAAAATGTCAGGAGAGAATGCTTCTGGAACATGGCCATACAACCTAGAAAACTCTCAGCAACCCAATGCTACAGCCTTGTAAAATTACAACTCCTGTGATTCCATAGCATTACCATGGCAGTTAAAGTGGCATCAAACTGCATTAGTTGTACCATGTAGATGCATGCTTAGACTATTTCCTCATAAGAGGTTATTTTGAAGTCAGATGTCATTTCTACCCAGAGCCATTGAAAATATTTGGAACTAAGGTTAATTGTGATTAACGAATCCCATGCATTTCAATGGGTCTATCCTAGGTCACTGTGACATTGGATTTTGCATTGGATCTGAATTTACATCACAATGTTTCCACACATGAGTATTCAGAAATG